TGCCAAATGCGGTGCCGTCTCCAGACCCATGCGCCCTTTGTGGTGCAGTGTTACGGGATGATTGATACGCTTCTGGCAATAAGACAAACATACGTTTGTATTTTTACCAGACGTTTTACCATTTACACTTATAATTCAGCGGTGGTTTGACTTACGCGAGTCGTATGGAAGCATGATAATCCCTCGAATGGGGGCAGCATGTCAATGCACACCCTCAAATACGGCAGGAACTTTTACCATAGCTTCCCGGCGAGATCAGCTAAAAATTGTATTGTAAAATTGACAATCCCTTTCTTCTGCATGTGTTGAGGCGGAATAGGCTTGTTTTAAAATTCTAGTTGTGTCGTCAATGCAAAATAAGTTCGGAAACCGTTATAAGGGACGTCCAGTTCCCTCGGTGCCAAGCGCTTATTTCCAGGACACGTTTAAGCCAAACTTGATTCACAGCGTCGCTGCACTTGTACGATAGTCGGCCCAGAGCTGTGAGTCATTCAGTACTGCAGTCAAGTCATCTGTGACTTACGCTAGTCACCGACACTTTCCCACTGCTGTAATACTTCCCCACGTGCGCGACTTGGGGTGGAACAGATATCCTGCCAGATCAGGATGTCGTTGGCATGTGTAGTAAGTGCTCCTTAACTCAGCATGGACGAAGGTCATGGGTCACGTGCGGCTGCGGGACGTCAGCCTGCGGAAAATGGGGCTCTCACTTCTCCGGAGATACCCAGTTAGTTGAGCTGGCGCCGACCATAAATTACGTTACGCATAAAGGGCGGAGGCTTTTTGACAGAGGGCGACTTAAACAGCGAGGGAAGAGGGGGGGGGGGGGGTGTTTGAACAGCGCAGCGTTACGTCTAGTTTTGGTTGTAAATCTTTCTAACATAGTTGAACATATCTTGAATCCTTTAATGCAGATACCGTTGACTTCGATGTTTTGGCGGCGTTTACGCCTCGCGGAAATAGCGCCGTGTGACCAGGCAGCGCAGAGCACGCTCGCAAAGGCAGACTGTGACACTGAAAGAGACGCTTGCCCGTGTGTGCGCTACAGCATGTGTGGCAGACGCCTCGCTGATAACCGGCTGGAATATGACCCGCTCTCGAAGGTGCTTGTGTTTCTCTGTCGCCTTGTGACGGCGCTGTTTGCCTGCCGCTGTTGCCGATCCTCCAGTGGCCTGTTGCCCTGTGACGGCGCTTTCGTGACTATTTGCACTTCGATGCATTTTTTTGCCGTTTCCGACCGGCGAGATGATGACCCATGAGCTTGTTGCGGCACGGCTGTAGCCCAAGTGGCGCTGCTGTCCTCGTAAGGTGTGCCGGAAGGGCGCCGCTCTGGGCTGGCTGTGCCGGGGCTGCTCTAGTGGCATGAGCCGCCTATAACACCGCGCTTCGCTGTGGCTGGCGGCCTGCTGGTGACGCCAGTGTCGTGCGGTCGGCGCCGGCTTGTGCAGTTGCTGAGACGGCTTGCTCTCTTTCCAGGCGACAGTTGATAAGCGCCGCCGGTCACATATAGCACCACTACACTGTTGCCCACCGCGGGCCGACCCACGATGGCAGGTAATCCCGCGCACCAGCTGGCGCCGGCCTCCTGACGCGCCGGCTCAGGCTCCCTCCCGCCTCCCTTGCAGTCGCCCACATCACAGCCGTCACACGGGTGCGCACACGAGCCATGGATGGGAGCGCTCCCGGCCGGCGCCGAGGGGTGCAGAGCTTGGGTGGCTGGGCTGCCCTCGGGCGCTTATTAATGGACTTACGGCCAGTTGCACACAAACGCGATGTCGTATTGATCCGGTATGTTACAAGCCAGCGCTCTCTGATGTTTATTTGTACTGGCTTTGCAGTTTCTTTTAAGTGGTTTTCTTGACCTAAATGTTAATGTGCCTGTAGCGATGCATATTGATGAAAATATATGTAGGAGTGACATACTGGCGCCGTCTTGGCTTCAGTGACGACAAATCGATGGATTATCATTCATGGACAGATGGATAACAGACAGCTGGAGTGCCGACGCCGAGCGCTGCCAGAAATATCTAAACGCATGCCGTGTACTGTGGCAGGGCCTAATTTCTTCGTTCTCATTTACGTGTCGAGAACGCTGGCTTTGGCACGTGGTTGCTAACGCAAAGGACATTTTTACGTTGTGGTACATAGTGAAGCTATGCAATGCGGAATGATTTCGAATCCTTAACAGCAATTGGCTTTCTTGGAAGTGAAGTAGGATGTTACTGGATGTCGTACATGCCATTCCTGATGAAACGGTGGATGAAAGGGACTTACATTGCTGGGATGACAAAAGTTCGCTGTCAGGCCCTACGGATCGACACGTTGGCTAGCACAAGGCTAGCACGTTGCTATGTGGTGCCGTTGGTTATCAATAGTTGTGTTTTCGTATGGATACATACGCACTGTAAATAACCAAGCGATTGGTAATGATGACTTCTTGGCACTTATGCCTGATGGCAGCTGTAACGGTTTTGTGGATGAACCGGTTCGAATTATGCCCGATCCCGTCAAATGTTGCGAGGAATTAACCTGCCTTGCGTAGTCTGTCATACGGCAATTATTCCTCTGCGTGTCGTGGCAAAACCCCTTATCGTCGTCAATATTCCCCGCCGTAGTCAAACATCGTCAAATTATGTCACCAGACACATCAGGCTGGAGCTAATCGCTCAGAAACACCTCATTACTGGACTGTATTCACGCCAGCAGGTTGTGGGCGGTGACAGGTCCAGGTGGGGTAGGGTGCGGTCAGCGCGGGCCGGCAGTGCGCGCCGCTCGGTGCCTCGGTGGGCGGCACTCAGCGGCGGACCCTTGGCCCCGCCCCCGCCCCGCCGGTGACGTCATCCGCTGAATAATCCATCCGCGGACTCCGGCCGGCTGACGTCAGCGGCCATGCCGCCTGCGGCCTCAGCCGGCCGAGCGGGGGTCGGCGCCACCACGCCAGCCGGGGCCGATGTTCGGGGCTGAACTGGGCAGTATTGAGGCTAGTCGGCGGTCCTGCTCGTGTCCGCGCGCCCAGCGTGGCCCCGGCTGCCCCCGGCCGCGATTCGGCTCCCTGCTCCCGGGTCGGATGTCATGCCGCCCGCCGGCCGTTGGCTACGTGCGGGCTGGCGTACATCACCGTGCACGCCTTCAGCGACTTACCCGCCACTTTCGTCAGTTTGCTAGTTACGTCAGGCAATGCCCAGATGCTTTCGGACGTGATGACGTTTCCACCCAAGTGTCTGGCCACTTTTTGGTCCACGCTTGCCCGGTTTGCATAAGTGAGGTGCACGGGACTCGGTTCGGTGCTGCTTAGGAAGGATTCCGTCCCCTGTCGAGGCGCGACAAAGGCACGCACAAAATAGCTTCGCGATGCACTTGCATTTTCAGGCACGTTCTGCTGGCTGGGGAGCTCTAAATATATTCCGAAGCCTTGGACAGTCAGGACTGTCCCAGAATTTGATCGGAAAGTTTTGCTATGATTGCAGTCAATATTTCTCAAATTGCAAGTCCGAAACTTGCCCGTGGAAGTTTTTGATGGCTGAACTATCTCGAGCTGCTTACGTCAGCGGAATAATCCCAGTTTAATGGCAGGATGGCTGCACGCTGGGGTCGTTCGGACATATTGCTTCCATCAATATTCATCCCCCCACTTTCCCCTCAAAGTATTAGGCAGACATAGCCAAAGGTCATGCGACCTACTTTGCATTCGCTGCGTCGATGCGCAGCACTGCTCCTTGTACGCATAACTCACGGCACGTTTTTTAGACGCCGGTTGTTTTGCTGTTATTGATAGGCCCTGCTGGACGCTTTTGTGACCCTTAGCTGAATTGCACTGCTGTCTTCCTGCTGACCTGGGCCGGGCGGCGGGCTCACGCCTCACGCCCTCGCCGTGTGACCTCACGTCCGATGGCCGCGAAGTGTGACCTGGTGTGGGCATCGCGCCAGGCTAGGTCGTAAACCGTGTTTCCATCACGACCCGGGCGTCACAACACGGCCCTGACGTATGGAGGCGGCTGCGGGCTGGCTGGCCGGCGTCTGCCAGGTGCCGGCCGGCCCAGCGGCATCCGCTCACATGCCGCTGACGGTACACGGCGGCGGCAGGGTCTACTCTTCTGGCTCCGCGGCGTCTGGCGGAAGTGTGGTCTACCCTGGTCGCTCCGCGGCGGCTTGTGGAGGCCTTACCTATCCCGTTCGCTCAGTGTCTCATCTCCCGCTCTTCGCGAGCTGTTGACGTCACGGCTTTTGTAGCCGGCGACTTGAAGTCGCTCTCAAGCGCGGCCGGATGGGGCGGCATCGACCAGGCCACCGGTCGTCGTGCGGGCACCGCGCTGCCCTGTCGCGCCGCTCCCGGGCAACGGTGGCCGCACGCCAAGGACGCCGACGTCCATGTGCCGCCTGCTCGGCCAGTGGTTACGTTCAATTGAGGCCCGCTAGCTGCACAGTCCAGTTCGTTGACGCCGTGGCCAGTTTTCTGTCGCTACGGGACCCGCATTCCCGCCCCGGCGTCTTGTCGCTGTTTTGAAATGCGGCGAAATGTTGCGCGATGGTTTGAGCGATTCTCTGCGCGATCCCGTAGGGAGCGGTGACCACTGATGCGGTCAGAGGTTGACAGTAGTTAATCGGGCGGGCATACTGTCGTGGAATTCCTCTCGTCATCACAAATGGTCCATGTTTGAAGTCCCCCCGTCATCACAAAACGTGCACATTTTTTCTTCGAAAAAGCGCGTGTTACCTTTGGCACGTGACGCATGTGGTCGGAAAGGGACTGCACTGTCGTCCGGACGGGACGCCGTGCCATGTGCCATGTGCCATGTCCGTGCCAAGACCGGCGCACATCCATGGTGCGGCCGTTCAGGACGCATGGCGGCGGTGGTGGCATTCGGCGCGCTGGGCTGGGTCGGCGCGCCGCTGCGGCCCGGCGAGGGCGGCCGGTGAGCCAGCCACCTGTCGCGGCCGGTCGGTCGGGCGGGCGCGGCCGCCAGTTGTCGGCGCGGCTCGGCAGGCGGCGCCCGGTCCAGTGCAGCTCCGCCGCCCGCAGCGGCCGCCCGGCGCCAGCCTGGAGCGCCGCCCGATCCCGGCGCGGACATGGGCGAGCGGAAACGCGAGCCCGCGCCACACCCGAAACTGCGCCGTCAGCACCACAGTGTGGACAACGTCAGTCGGGACAAAGAGCCGCCGGCCAGTGACAGTAAGAACACAAGCGCCAAGTACCTGGCCCGCGACAGCAGCGGCAAGCCCAACAGGTTTGGGTGGAAGAGCTGGAGCCAGCATCGGCTTAGCGACTTCTCTGCCAAGAAGGCCTTCGGTCGTTTCAAGGACACGGGCGGTGAGTCGTCGTCGCATCCCGCGCCGCTGGCTCGCGGCGACGGTGGCGGCGGCGGCGGCAGACGGTGCGCTGTCCTGGCCCTCGGTTAATTATTCACGGCGCCGACCGTGTCGCCCTCCCGTTACCCGTCACGCACGGGCCGTGGCCGTGTGCACGTAGGGCGGGGTCGGCGGCGGTGCTGGGTCCGGCGACGGTGCGTCCTCCCCCAGTGCCCCGTCAGAGCGGCCTATCGCGGCCGGTCCGGTGGTGAGCAGCACTGGCCGCGCTGTCGGCCACTCCCCGCTGGCTCGTCTGGTAGCGGGCAGCTGGCGGACGTGTTTTCCAGTCTCCTGGTCAGCGGCGGCCTGTTTGCCGGCGGCGGACGTGCTGCCAGCGCTGCGCCAACCGACGAATGACAAAAGCCCCGGGGTGCTTGGTAACAGCCGATTCGTCTGCAGCGTCATGGCCATGACCTTTTGTAACGAGTGAACTGCGCCAGTTATATGCTGGTGTCCCCGTGCCTGTTCACGTGTGGCTACAGGGGCACCGCCCAACACATCTCTTATGAATGGAGATGCGTGGAAATCATTGAACTAGGGTTCAGCCCCTCCTCCCACTGTTTGGTACCTTCGTGCAACGCTGAATGATCTTCATCGACGGCGCCGAGCTATTTGTTAAGCTGGTTTGCGTCAGCGACTCAAATATGTCCAGATCGCATTGCGCCACTTCGGTGGTGGCTATGCACGGCGCCAAAATAAGCCCGATGTAACATTTTTCGCAGTCATCCGTACTTTTCAAAGCGACCGCCTCGGGATTCATCCGCCTGTGGTCGCAAGTTGCCGTTCCCAGCAATCATGATGTCATCCGAGTGTAAGACAGGACTTGGCAACGTTAGCACCGTGAAGACATTACACATATCACCTCCATCTCGCGGCACGAACAGAGCTCCATGTTCTCGCGCTGCGGAGCTCCACGTTCACGGGCCCAAACGGCACGGAACCGGACTCGGGGTAGAAACAGAGGCGTGGGAGGCAGCCGGTGCGCCTGTGTTGCGTGACCACAAATTGCTGCCAGAGCACAAACAGTTCCCTTTGTGTGCAGTGGTTGGGTTCTCATGATTTCGTGTGATAGGTTGTCCTGTTATCGAATTGGAGCTACTGGAAGGGAGCTCAAACAAACTGAAGGCAGGTGCGTGGCGAGCCAGCGGGCCCGGCGCAGACGCGGACACAATCCCGTCAAAAGGGACACTTTCCTTCCGGCTGACGCCTGGCTGCCGCGCCATTGTCTGGTTAGGGACGCGAACCGAGCTGGGTGCCGAGCTCGCAGTTGGTGACGGCCTTCCGGCGACTTTCTCGTGCGGTCGCCGCCTCGTGCGATCGCCAGCGCGCCGCATTCGGCCTGTGCGATCGGCGAAGCGCGGCACGATGGTGGTTCCTCTCTTGTTGTTCTCAAGGAAGCCTATGACTGGTCGTCCTTTGTTCACGTGTTTGACGATAATGCGTGTTGAAGTAGCGGGCGCGTTGACGGGTGCTTTTGAACCGTGGCCCATCTCCCCTTTGTTGTGGGCGTCGTTACCCGGTTACTGGCTCTGCTCTGGTGTCGATCTGGTGAACGTTGGTCCCGGACTTACGTGCGTCGCTGATAAGAGATAACATGTTGGGCATGGTGTGACTGCTTTTTTGGTGTAGGTGTGCTGTTCTGGCGTACACCGCGTTTCAGCATGTCGTGCCTAAAACACGTGATGCTGAGTCGGACATTGTCTTGTCTGCACGGTCGTGTCTCGAAGTATTAGCACGCTGCGCTGCTCCCTCTCTGTATCAGTAATACACTGCGCTGCTCCTTCTCTGTACCCGTAATACACTGCGCTGCTTCCTCTCTGTACCAGTAATACACTGGGCCGCTCCCTCTCTGTACCAGTAATACACTGCGCTGCTCCCTCTCTGTACCAGTAATACACTGCGTTTCTCCCTCTCTACCCGTAATACACTGCGCTGCTTCCTCTCTGTACCAGTAATACACTGCGCTGCTCCCTCCCTGTACCCGCAATACACTGCGCTGCTACCTGTCTGTGCCTGTTATACGCTGCGCTGCCCCCTCTCTGTACCCGTAATACACTGCGCTTCTCCCTGTCTATCCGTAATACACTGCGCTGCTCCCTCTCTGTACCCGTGATACACTGCACTGCTCCCTCCCTACCCGTAATGCACGTAGTATTTGCCGCCTTTTTGTATTGGCTTCATGGCACACTCGAGAGCCTTTAATCCGGCGTCCTAAAAAAGCATATAGGGGTGGAACAGGCCCGGAACATGAAATGTCAGATCAGTCATGATTATGACCTCGTTCTGACTTGCCCTGACCTGAGCCAGTCTGTCTTAAACTCTAGACTTGTGGTGCAAAGTGTCTGGAGTGGAAATGAAATCACTGGAGCTCACATATGCCTGGGATTCACGCTCGTGTGTGGCATGTGAAGCGCCCAGAAACAAGACCTGCTCTTGATTCAGCACTGATGTTATCTTGACCGACGTAGGACGGCTCAGACCGAATTTTGGTTCAAAGTGTGTGGAGCTGCTCTTGGCAGGCATAGAAAGTTCAGATTCTTGGCACCATTCGTCATGCAATGTGAGCATAGCAAAAAAAAAAAACAACAAAAAACTAGAGGGCTAAAACAGTGGATCAATGCATGGCGTACTTACCGTCAGTGACAAATCTGCACGAGTAGGCAAGTGGAGCGCAATTATTCTGTGATGTCTGGCCAGGATCAATAGAATTAAATGTTCGTGCATGTGCTGTGCATTTGAGTGCATGACGCAGCAGCATACGCCCATGTGGACAGAGCTGTTGGGGTTTGGAAGGTTGGTGGCGGGTGCGCCACCCCGACCTGACGGAAGAAGTCGCCCTCGGCCGCGCCCTGTCATCCCCGCGGGCTAATCCCTGCGCGAGCGGTTTCACGGGAACGTTTCCCAGAAAAGCCATAAAACATCAGAAAAGCGATGATTCAGACGCAATTGCCTCCATCGTTATTAAGATATTCTGCTTGACTGAGGTATTGATTCGACCAGGATTGGGACATGACGGTGCAAATAAGCCGTAGAAAGCGCGCAATTGTGGCTACCCCCGTTGAGAATATGACCTAAAATGTCTTATTTGATTGCCTTCAAGGCGCGTAAAACAGCCATCCGCTCCTGTCTTTGTCGGCCAGTTGAACTATTGTGAAGACCCCTGCGGGCTGCCTTTTGGCCCGGACTGACAACTAAAGCCAGGGGCATGGAACGTGCAAACCTGAGCGTGTGCGAAAAAAAGAAACGATTTTCATTAGATCGGTAGCAGTTCCACGGGTTTGTCACAGCTGCTTGTTCAGTAACCTGTGGTCACTACGTCTTTGCTTTTGACGCAAACACGCACACGCATACATTATATATATATATATATATATATATATATATATATATATATATATATATACGGCATTGGCGCTTTGTGATGGGTTTCGTGATTGTGCATCCTTTGGCCAGCTCGTGGCTTGTAGCATTGCCTTAGTGGCATCTCACAGTTGTGACCTAAAGGGGCCGCCACAGCGGCAGTCCACACGCGTCACGCTTGTACCGGAGAGGAAGTGGTCAAGCGGACAGCTGTTTGATACTAATGATATCGTAGCTGATTCGAAACTCAACTGAGGTAGCGAAGTTGAGGACAGATGCAAGGGAAAGGCGAAAGTAAGGATGATAGTCGAATGCACGGATTGTGTTTCATAAGAGGCTGTGGAAGTTTTTTTGAGAGGGGGGCGATGGTCTACGAGCACAGAGGATACATATCAGGTTGGTTCAGGGACTTAGTATATTGTGAAAGAGCCACGAACCGTAAGGGTCGGCAATTATCGTATTAACGACGTTGCAAATGTAACAATCGACAACTTTTATCATCCAGAGTCTGCCGAGTCAGAAAAACTGAAGCGTCCGGCATTGCCTACTTTCCAGCGCCACTCAGATCTCCCCGCTAAGCGTGTTAGCCATGTCGCTGCCGCACAGATCGGCTTACTGTGTGCACCCCAGCCATGACCGCAGAGAGCCTTCTCTATTTTTGGCCCGCCGCGTCTGGTCTATCAGATCTTGCTCTTTGATAGGATCTGATTTGATACTGTGTCACGATCCGTCGTTCAGGTGGCAAATGCTGGGCCGTATTGGTAGCGACATAACGGTGGGGCGGCACGGAGCTCGGACGCCAACCTGTCAGGCGTGGTCTGCTGCGCGTCTCAGGGGGTGGGGGTGGGTGGGGGGGAGGGGGGGGGGGGCAGTCGGAACGGTGTCACGGGGCAAGGAGGCGTCCCAGCGGCGTGTGCCCACGCGGCCATGAAGCCCGACGTGGCGGCTGCCAGGGCTGGCGGCGGATAGCACGCGGAGCGGGCGGTCCCCAACCGGCGACGGAGACACGCGAGAAGGCGATCCGCGCCCCCGGCCGGTACACCGGCAGTGCGCGGCTACAGCGTGGCGGGCTCGGTGCAGGGGTGAGGCGTAATGCTTGCTGCTTGGGACACAGCGCTCGGCGCTCGGACGGGTAAGGCACGAGCTGGTGGCGGCCACTCGCTCGCGAAAGCCTCGCTGCCACCGATGCAGGAGAGATGGCCCGAAATTGTTGGGTCGCCGTCATGTAGCGAGGAGTTGTGACAGTTTTCCAGACATGTTGATCGCCAGGTACCAGGGGTTTATTTCAAACGTTCACAGGATGGCACGCAATAGCAGGAAAGGTCAGCGCTATTACCTGCACGCTGACACTACTGGCGATTCCAACTTGCCATGTCCCCATTGGCCGAGGGGAACTATCACTGCGGGTGTCCCAGCTGACCCAAAGCGAGAAGCACCTGCGCACACGCGAGGGTTGGATCCATCCCGTCACTGGCGGTGGCCAGCAGCGTCACAGCCGCACTGAAGCGGGCTGACGGCAGGGACCGGCGGACACGGTCCGCCCGCGCAGGCTCGGTGGCACCAATGTGACGCCCTTTCGGCGTCAGTCCTGCGGACGACAATCCTTCCATTGCACGGTCAAGTGCGGCATGGCGAAGGTTAGCCGGCTCTGTAGAGTCTCAAAGCGTCCTTTGAGACTGCCGGTCTGTGCGTGCTTACCGCGCCGTGTGCTGTCTCTCAATCGTTAAGTGTTTGAAGGTCTTAGTTCCGCGTGATCCAACTGGATGGTGGGTGGCTGGTTTTGCATTCACTGATTTTGAGTGAATGGCTAGTGCAGGCAGGATAAGCCGTTCCAAATGGAATGTCTTGTGCCGTACGTCTCGGGCGGTGGCGTGTCTTGGCAGACAGGTGTCCTGCCGGCAGCAAGGCAGTCGAGGCACACACCGTGTCCGTTCTCAGGCGTCTGGTAGGCAAAAGGAGATCGTAGCCATGCCCGGCTGCTGGCGGCCAGGTCGCGACCGCGCATTGATCCGCGATGCACCAACTTCTAGAGCCGTGATCACTGAGCACTGGATGCATCGAAGCGCTGTGTTGTGGGTGCCCGACTCAGACCCAGCCGGCTGCGCCGGTCAGCGCTCACCGTTATCGAACGGTAGAAACAGCGGCGCGAGGATCAGCTGCAGCGCCCGCTGGGATGCGCACGCGGTGTACAAAGACACTGACCCGGCTCAAGGGCGTCACCGTCGCGTTTCGACGCACGTTCGCGGGCCAGCGTCGCATATAGAGGCGAATAACACCCATAAATACAGCCTAGCAAAATTTGGTGGTCCCATCGTCTTTGCTCACTAAAAATGGCATGTGTATGGCGTCCGTCGCAAGCATTCATCTTGTCATTGCTCGCGACAGTTTGTCTGGCTTACGACAGCACGTGCGTGACAGGGCACTGTTGACTTCATCACGAGTTCGCTCCCTTAGTGTTCAGTATTTCGTATTTGCTCGTTTGCTCGCTTACAAGAAGTGACCCTGAAGGGCGAGATTCTCATACTTTATGCTCTCTCTCTCTCTCTTTGTTTCAGGCAAGGATGGAAATCGGGTTACGACAGTGGTGGCTACGCCCGGTCAGGGCTCCGACAAGCCCCACGAGGTGTCCTACTCAGACACCAAGGTAGGCTGGTGGGCCACAAATGAATACTGGCGCCCGCCGTGAGAGCTACTGGCGGCACGCTCAAACCTTTGTCAGGGTGCGAAGCGGGATTTTCTGCTGGGCGAGGGGAGACTGCCTGCTGGGCGAGTGGGGACTGCCTGCTGGGCGAGGGGAGACTTCCTGCCGGGGGAGCGAAGACTTTGCTGGGGGAGCGGGGACTGCTTGTTGGGCAGGGAGACTGCCTGCTGGGAAAGGGAGGCTGCATGGTGGGTGGGGGGGGGGGGGGGGGGGGAGATTGCCTGCTGCGCGGGGAGTTTGCTTGTTGGCGGGATTAGATTGTCTACTGGACGGTGTGAGATTGCCTGCTTGGGGGGGGGGGGGGGAGGGGGTCACGTATTGGGTGGGATGAGCGTGCGCGCTCGCTGTTCATTTTCACTGTGAGGTCTAACAAATAATTGCTGCGCCGTTAAAAGGCCTCATTTACCCCGCAAGAATGCTCGCGCACTTCCGTCGTGTTCCTCTGACATCTGTTGAGTGTAAACCAGCTTGTTGGCGACGTTGTTGAATCATTCAAGACAATTTCATGTGATGGCTTAGTGTTCTGGATGTTGCCTTATGGGAGTTTTGCGGGCGTTGTCAGTCCACTGAATGCTCAATTGTCATGAATCAGTTTGTTCTGTTTGCTTGTGCTTCGCACGCGTCTTGTTTTCCCAAGTGTACATGTGTTACCTCTCTCCTGCAGGTGATAGGAAATGGAAGCTTTGGTGTGGTATACCAGGCGAAGCTTTGCGATTCTGGAGAACTGGTGGCGATCAAAAAAGTACTCCAAGACAAGCGATTCAAGGTAAAAGTCGCCCCCAATCGGTTTGTATTGTGTTGTTTTTCTTGTGTTTAGCTCCGCGGTGTGCGGCTTTGTAACGCAGTGCTCTGAAATGCTCCGGCACGAATGTCATGCTGCTGTCGGGATATGGGGTTCATTCGCGATGGAGCTGTGTCTTGTTCGACACGCTCCACCGGAACCATATCCCAAGGGATCAGGGCAGCGGCAAGACGGGGTGCCAGGTTTCCCCATGGCCGGCTGCTCGGGTAGCAGTGTTTCGCTCTTTTCAAGCTTTAAACTTTTATTTCGGGCACTGCATGTGGATGCCTCACAATAGCGTGGTATCTTTCTGAAACGTGAGCCGCAGCCGAAAAGAGATCGTTGTCCCGGTAACCATTTTGTGTGCTGTAGTGGAGTGTCCTACGCAGCGCTCATATTATCCCCCGGGTGTATCGATTTAGTGGCGTTAGAAGGCAGATTCCCGGTATGTTGTCTAAGGCCTGGCCGGTTTACCGAATCTAATAACGCATTGATTTCATTTAAGGTGGCATGCGATATAAGCGACCTTGCACCGGGTATTGAGTTTTGGGGCTTTGACCTCATAAATATATTGGTTGTGTGTGTCGTCAGAGCGTGTCCACGAGGGCCGTGGATTAGCCTCATTTTTGCTTTCGAATCCGAGGGTAGTTTGATTCGGATCAACATTTGAATGATTCCGAATATATTTGATTCTGCATCAAAATTTAAAGATAATGCAATGCAATAAAACGAAGGACTGGCGGCTTAGTTAGGTGGTGAACCTTTCATACATTTTAGGTGCATGCTAGATTGATGGCTTTCACAATTCGGTGGGAGCTTATGACATTGAAATCCTTATTGTATAGTTCGGAACCATACTTATAATTTCTAATTCGAGGATTTGCAAAACTCGAATATGAGCAGATTCTGCGTATCCGAACCCTCACTTCTAGTGCTAATGGCGGCTTGTGCACGGCCAAGTGGGCGCTATGTGACTGCGCTATCGAAGCGCCCTGAAGCCCCAATTACTGCTACAAAGTCGGTGAAATATTGTTAACAGTAAGCAACGTTGGGATTTATCGAAGATTGTGGACTCCATCATCAGTTCTGTGACGTCGTCCTCCTTTTCAGAACCGAGAGCTTCTGACTATGAGGAAGCTAGAGCACTGTAACATGGTTCAGTTCTGTGACGTCGTCCTCCTTTTCAGAACCGAGAGCTTCTGACTATGAGGAAGCTATTGCACTGTAACATGGTTCAGTTCTGTGACGTCGTCCTCCTTTTCAGAACCGAGAGCTTCTGACTATGAGGAAGCTAGAGCACTGTAACATGGTTCAGTTCTGTGACGTCGTCCTCCTTTTCAGAACCGAGAGCTTCAGATTATGAGGAAGCTGGAGCACTGTAACATAGTTAAGTTGAAGTACTTTTTCTACTCCAGCGGAGATCAGGTGAGTGTCTGCGAGGCCGCTACACGGGCCCTATTGATTGGCGACAATGGCTGGGCGGCGTTGTCAGGGCTAGGAGCGCTGGCAGTCGGCCTGGACTAGACCGGCGGACGCGACGCCGTGGCGAGGCGTCCCGGCCGGGCGTGCGGCCACGGTCCGGTCAGCGCCGCGCCGCGCACCGGCCGTGGCGTGCCTTGCCGTGCCGGCCGGGCTGCGGCCACGGTCCGGTCAGCGCCGCGCCGCGCACCGGCCGTGGCGTGCCGTGCCGTGCCGGCCGGGCTGTGGCCACGGCCCGGTCAGCGCCGCGCCGCGCACCGGCCGTGGCGTGCCGTGCCGTGCCGGCCGGGCTGCGGCCACGGTCCGGTCAGCGCCGCGCCGCGCACCGGCCGTGGCGTGCCGTGCCGTGCCGGCCGGGCTGTGGCCACGGCCCGGTCAGCGCCGCGCCGCGCACCGGCCGTGGCGTGCCGTGCCGTGCCGGCCGGGCTGTGGCCACGGCCCGGTCAGCGCCGCGCCGCGCACCGGCCGTGGCGTGCCGTGCCGTGCTGGCCGGGCTGTGGCCACGGCCCGGTCAGCGCCGCGCCGCGCACCGGCCGTGGCGTGCCGTGCCGGCCGGATCCTCGGGTGGCGTGTCGGCTGATCCGTGACACGCGGCGGCGGCGCCGCCACCGCCGCCGCCCCGTCGCGTCCGGTCGCCTGCGGCCTTGGCCAGCCCAGCCGCGTCTCGGCCGCTATCGGCCGGAGCGGACCCAGATTAGGCGGCGTCGCCCGGCCCAGATAGCTGCTTTGCTGGTGCTCGGGATCGGACGCGTCACGGCGGGGGCAAGCGCCGAGCACCCCCGCACACAGCGGACCACGGGCGACTGTCCGTAGAGGCGCTGTCCTCGACGGGCCCCGACGCTCGTGCTCCTGCTCTAGCACTGGGGCAGGCCCACGCGCCGCAAGACCGGCTGCAAGGCCCTGTGGCGAATACCACCGCTGCCCGGCCGCCCCGGCACTCTTTCCGTGGGGGGGGGGGGGAAGGGGGCTCCAGAGCTCTGTCTCGGCCCCAACACCGGCCCGCGCGGTGTATTGATTGCTGGTGAGGAAATGTAGCTGTAAAGGAGCTGCTGCCCTGGTAGAAGGCGCGGAGGTAACGAGCCTCTGCCTCGACCGGCTTCGGGTTGGAGGGCTGGCTCGCGTGGCTGGTCGCCGGTACGAGACAGCTGTCCGTGAGGACTGCATCCCGGCGCGCAGGCCACGGCGGAGGCCGCTGTGCTGTTTATTTGTCCCGTACACAAAGCCGCCACATCATAAATCAACCGCAGATGACCGGTGCTCCGCCGCAAAGGACCTAAATCACAGTGGCTTGGTAAATATTTCATACGTGCCCGCCACTGCGCCGCCGCTGTCGGCATTCCTGCCCGGTGCGCGCGGCCCCGCCGGCGGCGACAGTCGGCGGCGCTCGCCGCCGACTGTCGCGCTCCCCGCCGGCCGTGTCAGCGCGCCGGAGCCAGTCGGCGCTCCGTCATGGCGCGGCGGCGCCCAGGTCCGGCGCGGCACGCCGCGGCACGCCCTCCCGGCGCCGACTAGCGCCGCCTGCAGACGCAGCGTTCTGCGATGCGCCTGCCGGAGTGGAGGCGTCTCGTGGTGGCTGGTTTGCCCGACGTCACGAGACTTCGCTTTTAGCTGTGCGTGTCCGGTGTGGGGCAGTCTATGTGCGTGTGTAATCGGCCTGCCGACTGCCAGTCTGCTCAAGACTGTGCAGGCGGTCTGACGACTAACAGTCTGCTCAGACTGTGCGGGCGGTCTGACGACTAGCAGTCTGCTCAGACTATGCGGGCGGTCTGACGACTAGCAGTCTGCTCAGACTGCGCGGGCGGTCTGACGACTAGCAGTCTGCTCAGACTGTGCGGGCGGTGTGACGACTGCCAGTCTGCTCAAGACTGTGCAGGCGGTCTGATGACTGGCAGTCTGATCAGACTGTGCGGGCGGTCTGACGACTAGCAGTCCGCTCAAGACTGTGCAGGCGGTCTGACGTCTGATAGTCCCTGCTCAGACTGTACAGGCGGTCTGACGACTAGCAGTCTGCTCAGACTGTGCGGGCGGTCTGGCGACTGGCAATCTGCTTGCTCAGACTGTGCAGGCGGTTTGATGAGTTGGCACTCCCTGCTCAGACTGTGCAGGCGGTCTGGCGACTGCCAGTCTGCTCAGACCGTGCAGGCGGTCTTGACTGCCTGTCTCTACTTAGACCAGCGGATGCCGTAGCGTCCACGATGTCTGGGCCGTCGTTGGGGACATCTGTCGATGACGTCACGGCGTATGCGACTGCTGCATCAGCGTCGCGAGCTCCCAGGACGGTTGTGGCGGGGATGCTAAAGCACCACGGGTCCGGCTGGGACCCCGGTGACCAGCACATATCAACATGCCGCGACAGTGGGAACTACACAAGAACCGCGCGCCCCCGGCCGCGTCCGGTGCGCACTCGCGCGCATCGCCCTGCTGGCGACGGCGGGACAGCAGAATATCGGGCAGCTCCGGCCGATCAGTGATGTCTGCCGTGTTATCGGGGCTGCGTAACATGCGCTTGTGCGCTAGTTTGTGGCCCGTTTCGTTGACTTTGACAGCCGGACTGGATGTGTGAGATGCCATCGGTGCTTGAAACGTACAAAAGTCGTGTGAAGTACGGTTTCGAGCCCGGGATTTTAATTCACGGAAAATGCCAGAGCAGTTTGCTCCGGATGTCTACCTCATCGTATTGTAACAACTTGGTCAACACGCAACACGGTCAAGAGTGATTCACGACCTCACACAAGCGCCGAAAGTTTTTCGCTCTACGTAAAAAATGCATCAGTAGTTTGATTGGTACCTTTGAATAATATCTCCCCAGAAAATATCGCTCACGGCACCGAGCGGGATGTTAATGCCCGCAAACGTCAAGCAATGCTAGAATTGTGATATTGCTGTTATACAACACTCGCTGAGTCTGGACAGGGAGCATTTGGGTGAGCTTGAGGTGCCGCACTTTTCACCACACTTTAACACGCTGACTAGTTAAGCCGGACGGGGAGTGAAGGAATCGTTAGAGTCCGGCTGTCTCGGCGTAACTTTTGGAGAACACTCAGCCATTTTAGGGTGCCCATTGAGGTCAGTGCCCTGCTGACGTCTGGACGTGCCGCCCGCTGTGACTGAGGCAGTTTCGGCGGCGTTGCGTGGCCCTGCGTGGGCCCGGCTGGCGGCCTTGTGTCCATCAGCTGGCCATCCTCGGATTTGGTGCGCGGCCGGAGGCGGCGGCGAGGGCCGTAAATGGCCACCGCGCCCGCCGGCCCCGTCTGATTCATGTCGCCCGACGCTTAAGTCGCGTCAACGCCCGCGCCTTCGCCGCCATCCCGTGTCCGCGGCCACCGACGGCGGGGCTGTGGTTCCTGCCGTGGCTCCGGCTCGGTCGCGGCTGCGGCGGCGGCCCCCTGTGACCGGCCGGCCGGAAGAGCGGCGCCGATAGCCGCGGCCGACGCCCGGCTCGGCGGGCCGGACTCGCAGCTGGCGCCGGGCGCACCACGGCCCGGCGAATGCTACAAGCGTCAGTGAGCTGGCGATGGCGAGTAACTGCACTGAGCTGGGATGGCGTGTGCAGAAGTCACGGATAGGATGGAGATGGGATCCTTATGTATGACCCTGTTCAGGTGAATGCCCGTGGTGCTCAGGCCGTGATGTCTTGGATACCTGCCGCTGTCGAGTCTTTTTAACATGGACAGGGCCAGACAGCGTAAAAACAGCATTATATGTCATGTATGCTGATTGTGTGTACAAGACCATGTCATTGTCACGCTTGCATGCTTTGCCTGTTCAATTGTTCAGCGCGATCCTGCGACAGGTGATTACAGAACGCATCCCTTGGCTAGTTTTTGTTGTAGAATGGCCGATTCTACTGCGGTGCCCTTCAGTTGTCACGTTTGCCCGGGAGTGTAAGTTGGGCTTTGATGTCGACGCACCGGTAAGCTACAAATTGTCCGGTGATGTGGCCGTGCTGGGCCTGCCTGCCAACGGCGAGAGGCCGCACTGTCGCTTCGTCTGCCTTGCTGCCAGTGCTGGCCGTGGCGGCGGCCGTCTCACCGGAGGCGCCTCCGGTGTGGGTCAGTGCGGTCCCTGCTGACAGCCGCGTGGCGCGTCTGCCCGCAGAAGGACGAGGTCTACCTGAACCTCGTGCTGGAGTACATACCGGAGACGGTGTACAAGGTGTCGCGCCACTACAACCGCTCCAAGCAGACCATACCCATCAGCTTCATCAAGGTAGGTGGGCGGCGGCGGCGGCGGCCGGTCGGGCCGGAGCGCTCGTGCGTCCGCGGCGCGTGGCTGTGTGACCGCCTATCTCTGGCCCGGCGCCGTGCCGCCCGCTGCCGCCGACGTCCGGCACGGCTCTGGCCTCAGCACCGATCAGCTGGAGCCCGCTGCTGACCCGTGGCTTGTGAGGCGGGCACGCGCCGTCCATGGCGGCCTTGGACTGGCTGATCTGCGCTCAGATAACACTAATCTGATGTGTAAACGCGGCAGCAACCTTCGGCTGCAGCTGGCCTCTTAAAATTGGTCTCCGATAACCAGAAAATTCCAGCTGCTTTTCCGGGAACTGTGTGGGGTTTTGATGGGCCTCGAGTGCCTGCTGTGGATAACGATTAACCAAGATTATCTTAACCACTTCCAACGTATGTTTGCCGAATAGATGTGATAAGCTTGCACAGTCCATGTCTGTAACCTACCGTACCACCGTGCGGCCATACCGTGTGCTATGAGAGGATGGGATTCGTTCTTCCTTCGAGGTGGAGATGACTGGGTGCCCCCTCGGCCGAAGCCCAGAACGTGAGGTCCACCACGGGTTGGTGGCTTCCTCCACCCCCACCCCCCCCCCCCTCCGGCCTCGCTGGCTGTTGTCAGTGGGACGCGCCGTGACCAGTGGTGGCGTGACCTCTCGTGACCTCCACCCCCGCCCCGCCCGGCGGAGACTGACGGCCGCCCCCGCCTTTCCACAGCTGTACATGTACCAGCTGTTCCGGTCGCTGGCGTACATCCACTCGCTGGGCATCTGCCACCGGGACATCAAGCCGCAGAACCTGCTGCTGGACCCGGAGTCGGGCGTGCTGAAACTCTGCGACTTCGGCAGCGCCAAGATCCTGGTGGCCGGCGAGGCCAATGTCTCGTACATCTGCTCGCGCTACTACCGGGCGCCCGAGCTGATCTTCGGCGCCACCAACTATACGACGAACATTGGTGAGCGGCGACGGCGGGGGGATGCCGGGAGGACCGCCGTCTCGGGTCCGGGCGGACCGTTTGTGTACGCAGGAACTCCTGCTGCACCATCGCGGCTGGGACGGTCTCGGTGCGAAGGGAAATGTGTCTTTTACTATTGCACCCGCCTGGCCCGGTTGGGCCGTTTGTGGGTGTGCGTGCGTGCGTGCGTGCGTGCGTGCGTGTGTGTGAAGGCGAAGGGGCTTTCCGAGGGAGGGTGTGTGTGGCGGGGTTTCAGCTCCACCATGACCGCTGTGTAAATCGGGGGTTCCGGTCCTTCTCGGTCCGGCTAGGCTAGCTAGAGCGTTTGCGGGTGGGAGGGGTTGCCATGCGCGCTCGGGGCGGGCTGGGTGGACCGGTGCTGCTGCTGTCGGGAGGCTGAGCTGTCGCTGCCGTGCTGACGTGTACCGGTGCCGTGCGCTGAGGTGACCGGGGCCGCGGCGCCGCCTACAGACGTCTGGAGCGCCGGCTGCGTGCTGGCCGAGCTGCTGCTGGGCCAGCCCATCTTCCCAGGCGACAGTGGTGTCGACCAGCTGGTCGAGATCATCAAGGTGCTGGGCACGCCCACGCGCGAGCAGCTGGGCGAGATGAACCCCAATTACACGGAGTTCAAGTTCCCGCAGATCCGCGCCCACCCCTGGCAGAAGGTGAGCCGATCCCTCCGCCCAGCCGGCCGGTCGAGCCGCCGCGGCCGGCTCGGGACGGCGGACCGACGACGGGCGGCAGGCACGCGCCGGCGGCACGGGGCGCGCTGGCACACGGCAATTATATGACTTCTCGGCTGGTTTGGTGAACAGTTCGTTGCTGCGTGGTCGCGTCCATTCTCCTATGCCCGTCTTGACAAGTGATGTACTGCTGTCGCTATCCCCAACCGCACATCCTGTTTTTTTTTTGTAGTGTTGTGATAGACGTTGCCTTCGCGCCAAGCTAACTCTGGGCCTTTGCAGTTGCTCCTCGAAAGTCCAAATCCGGTCAAAGGGCACGCTAAGATTCGAGTAAGTGTGCCGTTTGCCTGAGTGTGCCGTAGACCTGGCTAAGGAAGCTTCACTCACTAACGCCTGGTGGTCGGCGGCGCTGTGGCCGCCGCTGGCCTGCCGCTGTCAGTCTGTCTGTGTGCGCGTGCTCTACTCAGCTGCATCCGAGAGTCTGTAGCCCGTCGTCCGGCCCTGCCAGCCGCTGCGCGCCCGGCGGCGGTCAGTGGCGATCGCCAGCGTCTGGCTGGCTCCGGAGGTCATTGGTTGCGGCTGGGCGCCGATGTCCGCCACCGTTGGGTGCAGCGCACTGGTCGACCGGGACGACTCGGTCGCGTCCCTGGGCGCGTCGGCCGCCCGCCGTTGTCACCTCCGTTGCAGTCGCGGTCCGTTGCCACCGGCCTGGTCGCCTGACCCCAGGTGGCGTGCGCTGTCCGCTGCCTGCCGAGTCCGTCGCAGTCGCGGTCCGTTGCCACCGGCCTGGTCCCCTGACCCCAGGTGGCGTGCGCTATGCGCTGCCTGTCGAGTCCGTCCCTGCGGAGCTCCCTGCCTCCGGGTGATGTCCTCGGCTCCAGCTGCAGCAGATGTCGGTGTTAGTGCGCACCTGACGCCAGAACCAGCCGACGTTTGCTTCAGCCCCGGGCTCGGGGACCAGTCCGGCTCGGGCCCTGTCGTGGGTCTGCCGGAAGTCGGGGTCGGAATGACGGTCAATTGCTGCCACGTCCAGTCGTTTGGCTCTAACAGCGGCGTGCGGCGACGCCCGGCTCCGGCTGGCCGGACGCCGGGCCGGCTCGGTCGCTGTCTGGCGCCGTTCGCCACGGGCTGGGCGGCGGCGGCGGCGGCGGCGGCACTGGCAGGGCGGTCGTGACGCGCCCCTCGGCTGCCGGCGGACACCCTGAGGCCGATAGACTGGACTGGCCGCAGCGGAGCCGGACCGCCCCTGTCGCTGCAGCGGGCTCGGTGGCCTGTAACGGGCACCGCGGGGGGCAGAAGTATGTTGCTCGTTTGTTTTTTCCTTAAACCATGACTAATTTTTAAAAATGGGCCTGTTAGCGCAAAAATTTTACCTGGGTGGTGTTAGACGCCGTCAGCACATGCAATCCCTGATTTATAGCATAATACACTATAGCCGCGTTATTCTGTAAACATCTGAGCAGTGCGACGTGAAGTTGCTCTGCATTTTTCTGTTTTTATCTAAGGGATCGAATCGGGAGGTTTTTCGTATCAGACTGTAAGAAGATAGTGGAGCATAGTTGTATAACTTCGCGCGGTGTCGATTGCAAGGGGTCTTGTGGTAGTAGCATGCGAGATTGCCCTGGATCAGTGCAGTGCACGTCTCGTCTGCATCTCTCGTCATGCTGTCGTTTAGGGCGGCCCGACCCACTCCGACGCCTGCCCCACTCGGCTCGGGGGTCTGGCTGACCTGGGATGAGACTGGCCGTCCCGGCGGCCCGACCCACTCCAACGCCTATCCCACTCGGCTAGCGGGTCTGACTGACCTGGGATGAGACCGACTGTCCCGGCGGCCCGACCCACTCGGCTCGGGATCTGGCTGACCTGGGGTGAGACCGGCCGTCCCGGCGGCCCGACCCACTCGGCTCGGGGATCTGGCTGACCTGGGGTGAGACCGGCCGTCCCGGCGCCCCGACCCACTCGGCTCGGGGATCTGGCTGACCTGGGGTGAGACCGACTGTCCCGGCGGCCCGACCCACTCGGCTCGGGGATCTGGCTGACCTGAGGTGAGACCGACTGTCCCGGCGGCCCGACCCACTCGGCTCGGGGATCTGGCTGACCTGGGGTGAGACGGGCCATTTCCGTCACCCGTCCGCGCCGCCGCAGCCGCCGCCGGCCGTGCGTTTGGGGCCGCCTGACGGACCGGCCCGCTCTCTCGGCGGCAGGTGTTCCGGGCACGCACGCCGCCCGAGGCCATCGACCTGGTGTCACGGTTGCTGCAGTACACGCCCACCATGCGCACCACGCCGCTGGAGGCCTGCGCGCACGCGTTCTTCAACGAGCTGCGCCTGCCGCAAGCTCGGCTGCCCAGCGGCCGAGAGCTGCCCCCGCTCTTCAACTTCACGGACGCCGGTGAGAGGCCAGCCCGAGAGAGAGAGAGAGAGAGAGAGAGAGAGAGAGAGAGAGAGAGAGAGAGAGAGAGAGAGAGAGAGAGAGAGGAGAGAGAGAGAGAGAGAGAGAGAGAGAGAGGAGAGAGAGAGAGAGAGAGAGAGAGAGAGAGAGGGAGGAGAGGGAGGGAGGGAGAGGGAGAGGGAGAGGGAGAGACAAGGGGGGGTATCGGTGATGTTTGTCCCGCACAGTGCGCAGTGACACCTGGAGCTGGCCGCACTGCGGTGTAGAGAGTGCTGAGCTGTCCAAAGCTGCACTCGGGACGGTGGCACTGAAGTGGCTCGCATTGCCACCCCGGGTGGAGGACGCCGCCCAAGTGTGCTGTAATCCTGGGCCGTCCGTCGGTCCTCGTACGTTGGTGCGCACGAGCTGATCTGTGACGCAGTATCCCTGTGGTCCTGCGGCGAATGCGTATCATATAGGACGGGGTTTCGCGCGATTGAGGGATTGAAGGTTTCGTATGCAACGCGTGTCCTAAGGCGTAAATGGCATTAAATGCAGAACACCAAAATCACTCGTCTTCTGTCAGCCTGTGTGCTCTGCAATGCATTTTGAATCCCTATGGGGAGCGGGTTTGCCGTCGGGAGCTTGACATACATTGCCTGGTGTGCTTTGCTGTGACGTGACTTCATTTATTATATATTCGTGCCGCGTTCCAACCAGACGGAGGCGGTTTGTGTATCTCTGTGGTGGTCGGACCCGTGCTTAATTGCGCCTCAGTGGCCTCGATTCCGGCTCCGCCTCACAGCCTCTGGCGTTTATCCCGACTCCGTGCAATGCAGCAACAACTCTGAGACGACTCCGATTTTGACTCGTGAAACATGCTGTATCCCGGAGTCGATGCCGGTGTCACTAGTGTATTGTGTAAACCGCTCTTTGAGCTCTATAAAACCTAATGATATGTCTGTTATATCTATATATATATATCCTATATATATATATCCTCAACAAGACACTTCCATATGCCTGTATTCCATTCGGAACCTAGCAACGTAATCGGACTGTTGATATATACGGTAACATTTCTTTTTGAGTTGGCCTGCGGATGTTTTGGTCCACTGAATTAAGGCTCCCACTCACAACACAGAAATACAGGGAGTCTACTCCACCTTCACTCAACAAAAGTTGTCTGATGCCGTGGCCTGTTTTGATGTGTTCCAGAGTCAAGTACAAGTAAGGTGCCGGCAGAGCGCTGGGAATCAGTTATAGATCCATCTGCCACTGCAGTGTGGTTTCCACTGTGTGGGTCTGACAGTCTCCCGTGCCGAGTGCAGACTGTACATGTATGCTGACCGAGCCGCGTGGTGAGTTGGTCTGTGTTGGGCACAGCTGGCCGCCGGCAGCGCCGAGTGGCCGTGACCGAGCGCCTGTGTCTGTGCGCCGGCAGAGCTGAAGGCGTGTCCGTCTCTGACCAGCACGCTGGTGCCGGCGCACGCGCGCGCCGGCGGCACCGCGGCGGCCGAGCCGGACGGCGCGGCGCCGCCGACAGAGCCGGCCGCCGCTTCGTCATCGGCCGGCGCCGCCTCGGCCGCCACCTGACGCCGCTGAGAGGCAGGAGCCGCCCCGCCGCCCCGCCGCCGGCCCGCCGGCGCCCCTCTGTGTGTGTGTGTGTGGGAGTGCGGGCGGACGCCGCGCGCCGCGCCGGGTGCCGTGCATTGTTCGCTCATCGGCTAACACTCGGATCACCGAACGTATCTGCCAGCGTACACTGCAATATCTCTGTATCCATCTGTAGTTGCCATTTGTGTGTGCGTGTGGGTGCGGGTGTGTGTGTGTGTGTGTGTGTACCTGCGGCGCGCCCGCCCGCGCTCCCGTCTGTGACCCAGCCGTGCCATCCGACCGCAGGCGGGGCGTCCGACGGGCCGGGCCGCCGCGCCGTGTCGCGCTACGCCGCGCCGCGCCACGCCGCACCGCACCACCCACGCACCGCACACCCGCCGCGTGTTTTATTTCGCCGGGAACGGCCGTGGCGCGCCCGGGCGACGGGTTTTAGCACGCCGCGACTGCGTGGCGGAGCGCGCGAACCGGACACTGTCGGCCGCCGTGGACGCGTCGCCGCCCGTGCTCCCGCTCTATCTCATCTCCTCTCTCACTCTCGCTCGCTCTACTTCTCTCCCTCTAGATAGTGGTTTTGTAATGCCGAATCACTGTCTCTCGTTTCTTGACCTGCTGTGGGCCTGCCGCGGGCTCCAGCTATTCCTGATGGGTTGCCACCTGTGTTGTGGGCGGGGTGGCGACGGGCGGGCA